GTGTGTGTGTGTGTGTGTGTGTGTGTGTGTGTGTGTGTGTGTGTGTGATCAAAGAGCCAGCCACTGAGTTTATTAAAGAGACCATCCCTGTTCCCCTTACTGGGATACCCACTTGGAGACTGAGCTGCTAGGGGCTACATCTGAGTAGGGGTTCTGGGTTATTTCCATGCATGGTCCTTGGTTGGAGTATTGGTCTCTGCAAAGACCCCTGTGCCCAGATTTTTTGGTTCTCTTGGTCTCCTTGTGGATCTCCTGTCCCCTCCAGGTCTTTCTATCTCAACTTTCTACAGTAAGGTTCCCTGCACTCTGCCCAAAGTTTGGTTATGAATCTCAACATCTGCTTTGATACCCTGCTGGGTAGAGTTTTTAAAACTTTTTATTGATTCTTCATGAGTTTCACATCCTTCACCTCAGTCTGGCTTATTTCCCTGTCCTCATGTCCATCCTTCACCCTTCACCCTTACAACCTCCTCCCCAAAATAAAACACACACACACACACACACACACACACACACACACACACACACACCAACAACAACAATAACAAAGCATAGAAAACATCTCATTGTGGAAGCTGTTGTAGGTCACAGTGTGCCCACAGTATATCCTTCTGTCCACACATCTTCACTTGCAAATGTTTGTTGCAATGAGTCAGTGGTCTGATTTGAGGTATCTGGCTTCTGTTATACCATCAGTACTGGATCCTTACCCGGACTCCTCCTGGTTATCATGTTGTTGCCCTGTGTCAAGGAGATCCTACAGCTTTGGAACAGCAAGGCTGGTCCTTTCACAGGTCCTAACCATTTGCAGATGTTATATATTTTGGGGTAGGCCAATTCAGACTTCTATATCTGGGCCTGGGTAGTAGCTGAGCTGGTCAGTGCTCAGGCTTTCCCTTATCTGTACCACCAGAGCGAACACTCCAGCACTGCTACAGCTAGGCCACCCAGTGCTGCCACTGGCAGAAGGTAGGGTCAGGTCAGCTCTTCTGATCTCATACCCTCAGGGCTTGCTCACATGCACCCACACCTCCAGAGCCAGCTCTAGTGTGATGCCCAGTCTAGGTGTAGGAACCATTCTCCCAAGTGCTGCAGCCTGTGAGGGGCTGGACCAACTCTCCTACTCTCACACCCTCAGGTCTCGCTCACCTGTGCCTTCACCATCAAGGCCAGCTCTACTGCGTTTCCCAGGCAAGGTGCAGGGCCCTCTCTCCTGGGTGCTACATCTGGTGGGGAGCAGGGCCAGCTCTCCTGTTCTCATGACCCCAGGAGCAGCCCTCCTGGCTACTGAAGATGTGGGGGAGGGAGCATCATCCCCATACCCATGCTACCTCACGTCAGATGAGTGGTGGGGCCAACTCTCTTGAGCTCTCGCCCTGGGGGACAGAGCGGGTGGCTGGCTAATCTGTGCCCCTTCCACCAGGGCCAATTCTACAATGCTGCCCAGGTGAGGTGCAGGGTCCACTCTCCTGACCATATTAGCCAGTAAGGAACAGGGCCTGTCCACCAGCAATCATGACCCCCGGATTGGTTTTCCTGACTGCTGCAGGTGGGGAGGGGTGAAGGAGAAAGAGGGCACCGCCCCTGTATCCACATCACCTCATAGCAGATGAGGGCCAGCTCTCCCTCATTCTGTCCTCAGAGCTGGCTCACCTGCTCTCCCTTGACAGGGGCCAGCCCTACTGTGCTTCCCAGGTGACGTGCAGGACCCATTCTCCCAAGTGCTACAGGCATTGAGGGGCAGAGTTCACAACCCCGTGGGCATCTTTCCCAACTGCTGGAGGTGGCTGGGAGTGGCGGCATGGGAGCATCACTTCTGAGCCCACGCCACCCCACAGCAGATGAATAGCGGGGTCAGTTCTCCCATACTCACACCCTCAGGGCTAGTTCACCCTCACCTTCACCACCAGTGTCAGCTCCACTATGCTGCCCAGGCAAGGACCTGCTCTCCCACGTGCTGCCAATGGTGAGGGGTGAAGTGAGCTCTCCAGAGTGCTGTATTCAGGGAGGGGTGGGACCAATTATGCACATCCCTGTGGTCCCAGGTGACTGTCCTGACCACATTCTCTAGTGGTGATATGAGCCATGGACATTGACACTGACTTTGCGGATGCTTAGCCACGGACCCAGACGTGGCCCTCAGCGGCAGCTGGGACCTCACCATGGCCTCAGGTGGTGGGATTCACCACTCGCAGTGGGCTGCTCCTCTCCAGCTTTGGGTCTCCAGTTCCCTCTCACTTCATAATGCTCAAGCTGCTCCACTTCACTTTCTGTCCCATCTGTCGAGCACATACTCATACCTCGTGATGGCTCCTGCGGCAGGCAGGCCACACAGTTGGTGAGCCCCTGAGTAACATCCTCCATCTATGCTGTGTGGTGTGGCACGGCAGCGAGCAGGTGTTTGTGGCTCACCTGTGCTGTGCAGTGGAGGGTAGGTGTGTGGGTGGCTGTTTTCCTCTTCCCCCACTGCGCTGCCTGGACTTGATTGGATTTTATGAGTCCTAAGCATAAGACAGCTTTGGCCACCAAGTCAGGCGTCGAGCTAGGATGAGCAAAGTGAGGCCATTTGCTCTGCCTCTGACTGATAGAAGAACACCACCACCAACAAGGTGTCTCTTTGCTCATTGCCCAAAAGGTGGGGCATTTTCTAATAGAGTCTTTAGGGTTCCTTATGAACAGAATCTTAGCGTATGTAAATAGATAGAATTTGACTTTTTTTTCTTGTTTGTATCCCTTTTATTTTTCTTGTCTTATTGCTCTAGCTAAGACTTCAAGCACTATCTTGAAAAAGGGAAGAAAGAGTGTATATGCTTGTCTTAGTCCTGATTTTAGAGGAACTGTTTTGTGATTTGCCACATTTTATTTATTCATTTCTCTCTTCTTGAACACCTAAGTTGGTTCTATTAGCTAATGTGAATAGTGATACAATATTCATTAATATGCAAATATCTCTGTGACATGCTGACTTTTAGACCTGTCTTAGTTACTTTTCTATTACTGTGATAAAAATATATGACCAAGGCAACTTATAAAAGAAAGCATTTAATTGGAGGAGGGGAGCTTGTTTACAGTTTCAGAGGATGAATTTGTGACCACTGTGGCAGGGAGCATGGCAGCAGGCAGATAAGCCTGGTGCTGGAGCAGCAGTTGAGAGCTTACAAGCATGGGCAGAGAAAGGGCACTAACTGGAAAAGGCACAGGCTTTTGATACTCAAAGCCCACCCTCAGTCAACTTCCTCTAAAAAGGCCACTCCTCCTAATCCTTCCCAAACATTTCCACTAACTGGTGAAAACACATTAAAATATATAAGCCTCTGGGGGCCAGTCCCATTCAAATCACCACTATTTCTTTGAGTAAATACCCAGGAGTAGTATTTGGATTATATGTAAAACTATGTCTAGTTTTTCTTAGGAACCTTCATATTTATGTCCTTAGTGGCTGAAACTAACTTTCATTCCCAACAGTAGTGTATGTCCATATACTTGACTTATGCCCACTTATGTCCATATACTTGACTGCATTTTATCTTTAGTATGTAAACCAGCTTTCATCTTTATGATATACATATATGCCCACGTGACATTCCAGTCTCAATTTACCTTAAGAAATTTATAAGTGGCACCCTTTCTACTCACAGGAATAAGTCACATATCAGTCTGTGCTATACGGGTGGGGCTGGACAGAAGAGAGGTACCACCCTCAAGGCAGAATCAAAAGCTGCTCATAAAATGAAACTGTCCAGCTGTCAAGGTGGCGATAGGAAATCAAGATAGTCTGGCGTGGCACTCCTAACAAGCTTCGTCCTCTGCTGACACAGAGGGCCTTCCCTTCTTTCTCTCCTGTAACTCCTATTGTAGGAGGAATTTTCAAATGGATTTTGAGTCTTGTGAATTTTTTTTAGCTTCTTAATATCTGAAATTCCTTGCCATAGCCTAAGATTGAAGTATAGGACCTACTGAAAGACCTTGGTCCGTTTGCAAGGACATTGTACGTGTACTTAACATCTGAGGCTACAAGGAGCTTCGCAGAGTCATCTCAAGTCACATAGAGCCTTGAGAAAACAAGACTTCTCAAATAATCGGGGTTAAAACCAATTTATAATTACACAACGACACAGTGATTATTGTCTGGGAGAGTGGGAGAGTGAAGAGAATCGAGAAATAGGCAAAAATTGCCAAGCAGCTTGAAGAACTCATCCAGTGTTTTCTGCTGGACATGATGGGATCTCCGAGCAACTAAAATGACGTGTACAAGATGGAACCAAGCAATAAGTTCAGTCTGGATGAGGGAGAGCCGCAGGAGGCTAACAAGCTGCCGGCAACTGGTGGCTGCAGGGAATGAGTCATTTTTCTTCAGCCATGATTTGTTGCACACTTGAATGCAGGCAGCGCTAATTGAACTTGGGGGGGGGGGCTATAAGAAATAAAGAAACACATGAAGGTGGGAACAGCATGTATTGGGGGGGGGGGGGGGGGAGTCGGAGTGTATATGACCAAGATACATTTTAACTGTGTGAGAAAAATTAAAGAATAAATTAAAAATATGTAAAACAAAAGAACCTCATTCGCCATTAATGCTCAAGATAAAACCGGCCAGCTTGGCTCCAGTCATGCTCAGCTATGTGAGTACAGCTGTAGCAGAGGCAGAGTTGGAACCATGTCTCAATGAGGGTTTTGCTAAGAAAGGCTATAAGAAGAATACTACCCAAGGACTGGTGACAATAATTAACCATGAAGGACAAATACACTGCGTACGAAAGAAGATGTGAAAGGTGTGGAGATAGGGCAAAGGTGTCATGGAGTGCACATTCTGGAAGGACTGGAGTTAAGGATAAGAGTTTCTCTGTGGACGGCATAGGCATGAGTGCTGTTAAACAACCACAGGGGGGTCAGATATGACGACACATGTCTGGAATCCTAGGTGAAGGCAAGAGGACATGGAGCTCCAAGAACATAAAGCATTCGAGGCCATACTGAGGCCCTGCACACACATGCACACACACACTCACACGTGTGTGTGTGCCTATATATGTGCATGCATATATATATATATATATATATATATATATATATATATATATATATATATGCATATGTGAACCAAGTACCAGGGATTCAAAGATTCAAAGACTTTTCTTCTCCCAAGTATTGCGAAAGAAATCACAATTTCACCCCCCCCCAACACAACCCATCGTTTACTGTTGAGTGTGAATATAGTTTCAGCAATTACAATTTGTGGTATTGCCCTATTTGAAAACCTTGTCACATTTTTGTAGTACCTTTTTCTTCCTGTTTTTGACACCTTTTATTGGCTCCATATGGTGAACATATGTGCTTGCCTTACAGGACTCTGCACTGAATGATTTATTTGCTGCTACAGCTGACTGGAATAAGAGATTTGATATGCAAAAAAAAAAAAAAAAAGATTTGAACAGCATACGATAAAATGTCCAACTGAAGAGATTTACATGACTGACTTAGTGTAAGCCACGGCACTGCTAACTCCTCAAGTAACTTATTTAAATAACAACCAGTTTTTTCCTGCTCTGAATCATTTATTCAATCATTTCCTTAATATGAGTAGCAACCAAAAGCCAAGACAATAGCAGGTGATAGATATATAGAAATGAAAGACAAGACCCTACCCAGACTCGCAGCAAACAAGTAAAAGATAATAAGGGTTCTGATGAAAGTAAATACAGAGATCAAAGGGGACATGTTCCCTACTTGGGGGCCAATAGGAAGTCAGGAAAGATACCCCAGAGGCATTGATTGGCATCTGAGCTAAGTCTCAAAAGTCTAGGTACAGTAGGTACCTTGAAGTCATAAAGTCAAACATAAACTTTGGGCAAGATGAATGTCCTCTTAAGTGCTTAAGAGTTATTTCCAAGGAAGTCAGCAATGTGGCGCTTTGCAGCCGACCTGAGACACGGGGAGAATTGTAGCTAAGGAGAGCGCCACAGAGAACAGGGCAGACATATTGTTCGGATGGCAGGGTGGAAGATGGGGCAAGGACGTGAGCGTTCGGTTACAGGATTGCTGCCAGTCCTGTGGGCAATGATTAAACAAAGGCTGAGGCAGCGTGCGCCTCGGCTGTTGCATGTGGAGACCGTAGGAAGGTGATTATCTGAGAACTGATGGGGAGGGATGTTTTCCTTTCTTCTCTGGGCATGCACTCTACCAGCTGAGCCCCAGGGAAGCTCTGCGTTTTTAAACTCAAAGCTCATCCGTATGACTCACATTCCAAATGACAAAAAGATGGCACGCCGAGAACTGTTGAACGTTTTGCCTTAGTAAAAGAGTGGCAGTTCAGGAGTGCCTGGTCATGACCCCGGGTCACACTAACACAGCCTCAAGGCTGAGTGAGACTGACCCAGCTAAGGGACCAGAAGTCACATGACAAAGAAAAAACAAACCTGTCATTGTAAAGAGAGAGAAAACTCATAAAATTCCAATGTTTGGTGTGTAGAGAGAAGGCTCAGGACGCACAGCTGTGGGAAAAGCTGCTTGGAGTCACACTTCCTGTCACACAGCTGCCCGTTGAGCTCTGCTGACTCAGCTCCTCTCTGTCCTTGCCTCCCTCGGGGAACCTCAGGCAAGCAGCTGCAGTGAGTGACAGGGAGAACGAGTGGGGTCCTGATGCCGGACAGATGCCCGGAATAAACACAAAACACAGCATCAGTGTCAAGACTGTAGAGTCAGTGGTAAGACACTGACTGAAATACTGTTTTGCTCGCCAGGGGCTTCTGACCTCCTTTTGCAGCCCTTTCTTGGGAGACACATATGTGGCTTTCAAAGCATAGAGCATAATTTTTTTTTTTTTTTAGGTGTTTAGGAGCAGTAAGATGAATACAAGAGAAGAAAAAGAAGAAGAAGAAATACAGAACAAATTTGGCTCTCTCTGAAGGATTAAAGTTGTGCGGAAGAATCGCTACTAATCCTTTGTGTGATCTGGGAGCCAAGGGATGTGAAGTTTTAGTATAGTTGTCACCATTTTCCACATGTGACATGGTTCTCGTCACAACAGGGCTGGCACACATATGAACTCACAGAGACTGTGGCCGCATGCATAGAGCCTGCACGGGTCTGTACTGGATGGGGTCCTAGAACTGAAAGGAGAAGTGGACACATGACCTCGTCCCTAACCCAGAAGCCATCTTCAAGTGATAGCCACTTGCAAATGAAAAGTGAGTTTTCCTCAAGGGAGTCTCCCTGGGGGAAACAAACCATTCTTAAGGTAGGCCCCCATGACCTACAGTAGATGGGACACAAACCAAACTTAAGGTATATTTGGAGATTCTTTGTCTCATGATTCAAAGAAGAAGGCATCTATCCATATATCTACCTACCTACCTACCTACCTACCTACCTACCTACCTACCTGTTACCTTACAAGTGCTTTGCGTATATTTTATGGCTTCCATTTTTGTGTTTTAATGGGCTTCTTGGGTGTGTGAACCTGTGAGTCTCTGCATCTAAATGCATTTTTTTATGTGCTTTTTCTTTGGCTCTTTTTCTTGTTTGTTTGTTTTTATTGTATTTTACCTTATTTTATGTTATCATTATTCAGTAGATGCCCGTTTGTTTTCTAAGAAGAGACAGATGGGGGGTGGATCCAGATGGAAGGGGAGGTGGGG